TATTCGTTCCAAGAGGCGCTGTTGTGGCTCGAAGAACACCTATCGGCGATTCAAGGTGCGGGTTCATGGCTTATCGACAATCGAAACACACGATCTTCATCACATCTCCTTCACGTACACAGACAAGCCCAATCAAGTCGTGCATAGTGCCTTGCTGAGATAGGCTAGGGGTCGTCCTTCCTGCACTAGCACAGCTCCAATTCCAATATCACTCGCATCTGTGTGTACCTCGAACAAGACATCGAACCTCGGCATGGCGAGCACCGGCGTCGTAGTCATGGCGCCCTCAAGTTTCTCAAATGCCTCCTCGTTAGCTTTGGTCCATGTGAACCCGCCTTTCTTGGTCATCTCTGTAAGTGGTTTGGTGATGGCCCCATAATCTTTCACAAACTTCCTGTAGTATCCTTTGAACCCTAGGAATCCTCAAAGCTGCGTGAGACTCGTTGGCTTAGGCCAGTCGACCATAGCCTCTATCTTCTGTGGATCAACCTTCACGCCTTTGTAGGATATAAAGTGGCCTAGGTACTCAGCCATATCCTGCCCGAATGAACACTTGGATGGCTTGATGTGGAATGAGTTAGCCTTCAAGACTTCGAGCACCACTCCCAAATGCTCCAGATGTTCCACCCATGACTTCGAATAAACTAAGATATCATCGAAGAATACTAAGACAAACTTACGTAGGTACTCCTTGAAGATGGAATTCATAGCAAATTGGAAAGTTGATGGAGCGTTGCACAGCCCGAATGGCATCACTAAATACTCATAATGCCCCTGATGCGTACGAAAAGCTGTCTTCAGAATGTCGGCCTTCTGGAGTCGGATCTGATGGTAGCCAGCTCTTAGGTCGAGCTTTGAGAAATAGCGTGATCATGCCAACTCATCGAGCATGTCGTCGACACTAGGAATGAGAAATCGATCCTTGATAGTCGCGGCATTCAGAGCCCGATAGTCAGTATAAAACCTCCACGTACCATCCTTCTTCTTAGCTAATAATACTGGCGATGAAAATGGACTCGAGCTATGCTGAATTAACCTAGACTCTAACATCTCAGCTACTTGACTTTTGATCTCAGTTTACTGAAAGTGAGCGTACCTATAGGGATGAACGTGTACAACATTGTAAGACCACTTTCGGTTATGAATAAATTGGATTATTTTATTATTATTATTATTGTCGTTATTATTATTATTACTAATGTTATTATTATTTATGTATTTATTTGTCATTACTTGTTTAATTGTCTGAATTGCCTAATTGATTTTATGTGAATAATATGTATTATTAAT